TACAATGAAACGTAAGTTTGAGCATCATTTCAAATAAAAACTTGATAGGGAACTATAGGGTTTCTGCTCTAGCCTGAACATCGTAAGGTATGAAAAAACGCTTAACTGGGCAGGAATTATTGTGAGCATTGGCCCACTGTCTTGTCAACTGACTTATAGCTGTGAAACTGGTTTCTTTATACAATGTTGTTGTTGTCCATTCCGCACTCCCATTTCACTATACAGCTGGTAAAAAGATGTTTCTTAATACAACGTTTCTTGTTACGAGTATAGTATGAATATCCAGTAGTCTGAACAGGCCAGAAAACACAATAACATTGATGCAAACCTTCAGCCTTTTCACACACAGCTAAAATTCATCGTATCTAGAGATGATTAGAATCACTCAACAGTTTTAAACATGTTTATAGACAAAATTTCCCAGTGTGAACATCGTTTATACGATGTTGGGATAGATACGAAGTCGCGATCCATACGCCCCTAAAAGCAGGCTGCAGATACGAAGTTCGTATCTAGAGAGCTTGACATTTTGTCCCGAATTCACAAAGGAGGTTTGAGCTCAGACCAAGGTTTTCGTACGTCATATGACGCGTTTTACGCATTTTTTACAAACCTGGTTTGTAAAGAACAAAAGGAGGTTTGGCGAAACAAAAGGAGGTTTGAGCTCAAACCTTGGTCTGAGCTCAAACCTTGCTTTGTGAATTCGGGCCTTTGTGTGTGAAAGGAAATTCGTATTTAAACGTGTTTAAACTGGATGGAGCGTGCGCTTTGATTGATATGACATGACCTTCAATGCGCAATGGCACTACTGCGCATTTTACGAGCAGTAGTTAATCACGAAACTATTAACGATCGCACCGAAATTTCTGTGTGTGAAAGGCTCGTGATTAGTTTAAACACGTTCGAAACACGTTTATACTAGTCATGTTTATAGAATTTTAGCTGTGTGTGAAAAGGCTGATTGTAATGTAAAACATGCAAGATAAATCAAATTCATCCTTGGGACTCCAATGTGCTAGACATTAATTGGGTGATTTTTTTATTGAATACAGATCTGATACAGATTCGTATCTGTGATGTCATAAAAACATCCCATCTATCAATGTTTTACAGGTTAATGAGCAGAACGTGAACCCTAGCACATAGCCACAACATACCTAAAGAATATGAGGCTAGACATTACTGTATCACTGTGTTGTATTTGTGATGGAGTCAGAATTAGAGGACATTATTTGGTATGTGATAATGAATTAGGTTAATATGCAAACTATTGGCACATGTGTCTGTTTATCCATCATGATACATCTACAATGATATTGTAAGTATTATTTTTCAAAATGGGTTTATATCACACGGTACTTTCTTTAAGGGTTGACCAAAGACTATATGTAACCTGGAAAATTTGTTTGTTTTACTTTAATTCATGTCTTTTATTCTTTTGTTTTAAATATATAAGAAATTCCAAACTTGTAGAATTTGCTGTGTCTTGCAAATCTTCGGAAGAAGTTGAAACTAGAATCAGTAAATTCTGGCAAGCATTTCACACTTTATCTTCCGAGATTGAAGTAGAACTATTTCTTTCTGTTGAATTGACAACTTGCACATTTGTTTCTCTCACCCTCTTGCCATGATGCCATCCAACCCAATTCCTTCCAAGACCTACTTCAGCCCCCTCCCTTCCCCCCCCCCCCCAAAAAAAAAATCCCCCAAAATCAGACTTGATCTGTGAGATGAGTACCCTGTAAGAAAATAATAAATGACGTTTGCAAAAATGAAAAAACAATATCTGGCTAACCCCCCCCCCCCCCCCCCCCCACACACACACACACACTGCTGCTTCCTAGGCCCTTAGGATAACATTCATAATGGCTTTCAGACTTGACTTGACCTATTGGATCCATATACCCTGTAAGAAAATAAATGACGTTTGCACAAACGAAAAACACTCTCCTGCCTGGCCTGGCCCCCTGCAGCGAGGTTAATATGCCTCTGATGGGCCAAGCTGAGGAAAGATATACCACACCGACTTCCAAGAGAAGTTTGGGAATCTAGTCTTTGTCTTAGAGTTTTCAGAGATTGCTGTATATTTTGAAATATTTTCACAATTTTGCTACTTTGTCAAAACAAGTGTTGAGGTTATATTTAAAGCCCCTCTAAAGTGTTGGGTGCCCCAAATTTGCCAAAGATTTGATGGCAAAATTGTATCATAATGTGAAAGAGGATGTCATTAAAGACACACTTCTGCAGAGATTCCCCCCTAAAGATGTGTTTGAAGACAAATGCTGATAAAAGAATAAATTATAGGGTGTTCTGTGGGACACAGTAAACCTAAATTTTGTATTCTGTCATCATTTTTTTTTTACTTTAAACACATCTGTTTTGAAAATCCTTGCAGAAATGTGTCTTAAATGACATCCTCCATTACATTATAATACAATTTAAGTGAAATTGTGCCATCAAATTGTGGGGGCTCCCAACACTTTAGAGGGGCTTTACACTTTAGAGGGGCTTTACACTGTATTACAACAAACTCCTTAGGACAGATGACATTCACTTGTTATTATGAATCAATCCATGGTCTGTATGTTTGTCTTCTATTTCATTTCTATAGTGAATTTGAATTTTTTTCCTTCTTGATTCTACATTTAATAAAATCAATTTTGGTGATTGAGGCAAAGACTAGTGTAGACTCTTTGGACAGGATCTTGTATGAGTCATTCAGTCTGGCCATGTCTGTCCATTCCACCCCGGTCCTGCACTTGTCTCTTTCTTTTTAAATTCATCATCATCATCATTTCCTTCCTAGAATTTGATAAGGTGAATAGCCTTCAAGTCACAGAAAAACAAGGATTTAGTAAACATATTTCTCTTTATGCATTAGACATTCTCAACTCAAGTACATTATATTAGAAAACTAAAAGTAGAAATATTTGTGATATGAAACTTTTGAGAAATGTTAAAGACAGCCATTTTCATATGATGATAATGGGTGGTTCATTTTAAAATATGCATCGTAGCCTGATGTTGATTTCTACAATATTTTTACAAAAGTATTTACATGATCTGCACTGTATAGAATCATATTTAATTAATTATACATGTAAACAATATGCAATTGTAAATGTAGCAAGAAACTTTGCAAATTGCAAAAGTTGAGTGTACAGTTAGGACTCAGCAATTTTGCGGCATGACAATTTCACAAGTCAGGGCCCCGTTTTACAAAACTTCCTATCAATAACAATTGCCAAAGTTCTATAACAACTTTGCTTTCAACCAATGAAATGCAGGGGTTACAGTAGCTTATAACAGGCATTGTAAATTGTCTTTGATAACAATTTTTGTGAAAAGGGGCCCTGAACCATTCATGAAATTCCCAGAAGTTCCTTGTTTTACATTTACAGTGCTCAATTTATCCTACTTGCAAAAGATACAGAATCCGTATTTAAAAAAAAAATCTGTTTACCAACACAACATCTTTATATGATCCACTTGCATCGCTGATTTTGTTATTGTAAAAATACTTTTCATTCATAATTGAAAAATACTTTTGGATTTGAAGGCGTCTGAATTACCGTAGCGATAGACTACACCATCTTATAATCCACTTTCCTCTCTGATTTTTTACATATTTTTTATTACCGGTATCAAAAAACTTTGCATACATGCCTGTAGTTGAACATTCTTTAAAGATAAAGATCAGTTCTGGTCATGCGATTGCATTGTGAAAGAAACGTTGTGGAATCGAACAGAAAAGGTTGATCATCTAGTATATAAGTATTGGTGTGTACTGCAAGGTTCTGGAGTCATCAAAATGATAAGAAATTTGGCCCAGTCTTAGTAAAGTTACGAGCACCGTACACAGAAAGATGTATATGGGACTACGCACACGTGCGCGACACGTGCGTTATATCTATCACATCCCAATAGATAAACTAATTTACCAAATATATCAATTAGAAGGCGGTTTCCCGGCAAAATTGTTGTCATCATGTATTAGTCATAACATATTCTTTCACATGATTGGTAATAAGAGCTTCCATTTCATTTTTTTGAAATTGGGGCGTTTCCAATACTGGTCTTTACCTTTAAGGATTTAAAGGCATCTGCATTACAGTAGTGATAGACTACCTTGAGTTATAGGCCTATTGATCATCTGTCATTAGCTGTGCTTATGCTTTGTAGGGATGTGTTGACATGACACTGATGGAGATAACATACATGGGTGATAGATACAGACAGGCTTCCAATGGCAATCAACACAAACTAAACTTCTTCTTGCATACATACATACTGTGGTAGTCTATGACACAGACTGTCTTTGATGAGTAAACATATACTGTGCATTGCTATTTTCTTTAATACTTTTATGTTTGTTAGTACTCTCATACCCGAGAGGGGGTCAAAGAGTCAATAAAATTCTACAAATTCTACTGTGAAGTGTAGCACTAGAAATGTTCATGAATTTTGCAAGTCTTTCATACTGCTTCAGATGAAAAAAAAAATTATGCTGCATTGCTTCAACATAAATGAATCACAATTGATATAAAACTAAATTTTTGCAATAGATTTTGATTTTACAGTTTTTGGGAACTATCAGGACTATACTTCCACTGTTTGTAGGTCTATCAAACCTGTGTACAAAGGCCACCAAAGGGAAATACGAAGCATAGTCACTGTAGATAGATGGCCTTTCTAGACAGGTTCAATAATGTATTCCTTTCTACAGACAGTACAGGGAGACTATGGATGTGACCACTTTAGACTATATAGAGAGATGGCCTTTATATAGAGGTGGCCATTGAGGCAGGTTGTTGCATATATATATTTTCCATGTAAAAAGATACAAGGATTTTTTGTTGGTTAATTGATGTCAAGAGTCAAGACACATTTTATGAAACAAGCACCAGCTAAAAAGATGGCAACTCTTGTAGACATAAAAGAGTCTGCAGATTAAGACTAAGGACTCCCAATGAAACAAACTTCTGAACTCCCCTGCATACTCTTTGTGTGTAGTAAGGATGTATAAGTCGGTCACTGGAGGTCTTCGATCGTTACACCGCTGCGGCAGTGCGTAGGGAGTTCACTCACTGGTATCAGGTCACGCAGTAAGCCTCTACGAGTACACCGATACCAACCACACAGTTTCTACTACCACTTCTCAACAATTACCACCAAGCCTACACAGCTCCAAGGGGGGATTCATACCAGTACATAGTTACTACACGATCCACCCCTGTCTCTCCTACTCCCCGTAGGACAATGCAGAGTGTGGCAACTCTTCTGAAAACTTGATCAATAGGGGCATTGGAGTGTATCGGAGCAACAGTTAAAGGGGTCCCTTTTTGTCCTAGCCTGTCTGCCCGTGGTAGTAGGAGCATCGTTAATCTATTAGCGTACGCTTGAAGACTGCAGGTGTATTGAACTGATGTGGGGGTGGATAGTTGAGACTATTATACTCGCTATCTCCGCTGTTTGAACTTGCTGTTAGTCATAATTGCGAAGGGAATAACAACTCCTTGACCATTGGTTGGAAGAGCTTTGTTCTGTGATTGTATAAAGAGGATTATTGTCATACCGAAGGAATGATACTGGGCAGTGATTCAGTGTGATCTCTCTACATTCAGGGGCCATATTTGGAATATCACTACCGTTGCCACACATACCAGTAAGTACTTGTGTTATAATAATTCCTTGTGAATATTTCAGTATATCACTTTTCATCTTTGCATAAACTTTAATGCAGTGACGTTGTGTGCACATGTACATGTACTTCTGACGAGTTGTGAAGGAGGAATTCATTGTGAAAATCCCACTTAACTTCAGTATTTATCTTCTTCACATATTAAAAGTTTTGAGGTAACATCTTGTTATGGAGGAATTCCTTGTGAGTAATTCATTTTATTTTGGTATATCATCTCTGCATAATTCTTCATAGTCTGTGTGCATCTTTTACTTATTTTCAATACTGTACCAATATAAAATTATAATTTTTACATAAACTTTTGAGGCATGGTCATGTGTTGGAGACACTCCTCACAAATATTGGAGTGAACTACCTCAATTTTCACAGTTAAAAAATAACAGCAAATATCACAAGAATCACATAAAATTATTTACATAATTAGATAAAGCAGCAGTATCATATACAAACAAAAAACAAAAACTGATTGTGAGGAAAGTCAAAACTTAATCTTCATTACTTAAAGGGAGTTTACTATTCTTCTTAGAGATAAACTCCATAAAGTAATTCTGTATCCTTATTAAACCATTCATCACTTCATACCTACATGTATACCTACTGTTGCCATTGGTGTCTGGTCTGGATATCATCTTTGTTTCTCCCAGTCAACAAGGGGATCGTATTACAGGGCTTTGGTGGATGATGGCTGTCGAAATATTGGAACTACACAAAGTGTACCATCGGATATCCTCATTCCTGAGTAGCAGTATGCATTACATTCTTCGTCTTCACATTCAAGTCTACACATTCAAAGTCTACTTGTAAATTTCCAAATACTATTCATTGAAATCTACAACCTATAGTGTTACTTGCATGGAGTTATGTTCATGCTAGTGGAAGTTGGGTGTATATTACAAGATGTACATTGCTAGATGTACATTACAAGATGATCATGTCTCCACTCCATAGTGATCATCAAACTTTTTGAAGGATCTTGGATGATTTGTTGTTTTTGAAAATACTGCTCCATTTTTGATCAGGTAAATGTTATATAGATTTTGGACTATAATCCCAGCTTTCATTGCAATGGCTTTATATAAGATCTTTGTAGTCGACTGTTCTCATTGTACTTTGTATACTTTAAAGCATGTCTTCACATTCAACGTATACTTCTTACACCCTATACTAGTGTTATTGAAGTTATTTAAAGTTCACTCTTGTGGGAGTTGGGTATATTGCTACGTGTTTTAAAGACATCATTTCATTAACGATCGTCAAACTTGTTATAGAGATCTTGGATTATAAATTATAATCAAGGCTTCCTTATCAAAGGCTTTATATAACATCTTTGTAGTCGACTGTACTCATTGTACTTTGTAACTTTAAAGCTTGGCAGTATGCCACATGTATACAATTGAGGATACTGTTACTGTTTTCACACCTTCAATATTTTGCTTAACCCCGTACTATAGGTGGGGTTAAGGGGGGGGGGGGGTCTTAGCCCCACCGATAGTACGGGTTAAGCCTATTCCACTTTCTGTTCAGACTGGCTTTTACCAAAGTGGGCTAAAGTTGGCTAACCCCACCTATAGTAGGGGGTTAACTAACCCTGCAAAATAGCAGGGCTAACCCCGCAATTTTGGTGCTAACTCCTGCTAACCCCGCAATTGCGGTGCCAAGCAAATGAATGAGAACAGAAACGAAAATTAGTCCGGCACTACGCAATGGAGCATATCGCAGCTGGCCAGATGCGAAGTATGTCCAATCATAACATTCACGATATCCGGGGTTAACGAATTGCTTTGAGAACAGCGTGAATTTTCTTATTCCGGAATAGGTGCTAGTACGGGACTAAAAACGGCGTGTGTGAAAAGCCAAACAAAATAGTCCGGGGTTAAGGATAGTACGGGGCTAAGCAAAGTACGGGGTTAAGCAAAACCAGTGTGAAAAGAGCATTAGAGCCATTTGAAATTGATAGGGTGAGCATCAGAAGGACTTTTCTAATGGTGGTGTCTTAGACCCCGTTCTCACTCACTTTGAAAGTGGTCTTAGTTAGACCGCTCCAGAGGAACGGGTCTTGAGGAACGGTTTGCGAGCATTCACACTCCGAGCAGTTTTTTATGGCTCAAACCGCTCCACGAGTCAAAGTGGTCTTGTTGCTATGGCAGCTCAGGTCAGCAGATCAATTTTTTCGCGCGCGGAATACAAACCGTATGTACCGTACTACATGTTTCGCACGGAACGTCATTAGCTCACTTCCGTTCATAGTACGCTTTCGTTCACATTGCACGCTAGAGCGGTCCAAACCGCTCTTAATAAGACCCGTTCCTCAAGACCACCTTGGAAGGTGTTCTTCTGGAGCGGTCCAGAAGTCCACTTCCTGGACCACTTTGACCGTTCTCACTCACCTAAGAACCGCTCCTGAGGAACGGGTCTTAGTTAGACCGCTCCAACGAAGTGAATGAGAATGGGGTCTTACACAACATGCAAGTGAGTAAAGTTGATAAAGTCCTATTTCCAAGTTGTTTGTGATCTGTCTTTCGTGTACATAGTTTTCTTCGGTGAAGGATTGTTTAGTGACCTTATGTCATTCATATATTTTTTAGAAGCAGAAGGACTTTGTTTGTTATGGTGTTTTGTACAATGTGCTAAAGGGTGGTCCATTTAAAGTGTGAAGGCTCTTTAGTGTTCTCTGACTTTAATAGGATTTTCAGCGGCCTTTTGCCATTGATAGGGGGTCAATAACCAGAAGGAGTTTGTTGTTGGTGGTGTTTTGCACAACTTGTAAGAGATTAAAGTAAGTAATTGAGTCTTATTCCAAGTTCTTTATGATCTGTCTTAAATTTCTACAGAGTGTTCTTGCTATGGATTATTTAGCTGCCTTATGACATTTATTAGGGTTGAGCACTTTAGTGGCAGAAGGAATTTTTTAATGCCTACTGTCCTGCACAACATGGAATAAATTTGTGGTTTGTGTTTTTGTTGAGCGAGTCCTGCCAGAGTTTCTGGAGTGATAGATCACCAACAGCAGTCCACCAAAACATAAATCCTTGACAAAAGATTTAGGTCAGGTAAATATGGAGATATTTATACGGGTTCCAGTATTTATCCACTGTTTGGAGCCAGAAGGGTGTTAACTCATATACTTTAACACAGAGTTAAGGCCCTTCAGCTCTGAACAGACATTATTATTGTTATGGTGCAGTAAAGCCCTTGGACTATCTAAAGTTCATAGATTTTCTGTATGGACCTCCACCTTGAGGGTCATACTTGTCTAAATAATCCTTCTTTCTGTGTTTGATTATGATAACTACTTTTGACAGGTTTACAGTTGTGTTTGTTGTATTTCATGATTGGTTCGAGACCAAAATATTGTTGCTCGTGTTCCCTTGGTTAAACAATTCTTTTGGGCATTGTTGTGAAATAGGGAAATAATTGAATGTTGTTAAATGCATTGTTTAGATGTACTGTTTGTGTTCTTTTAACATTTTTAACATTTAGTTATTGAGGGATACAGCATAATGTAGATGCATAAATAATTGACTGAACTATTCAACCCACTCTCCACTGGAACCAGGTGGTTCCTGCATTAGAAGCATGAAGAATATGAGTATTCAGTTGTCAACGGTGCTAATATGAATGTCTTTAGCCTGCCTTCAAAAGAAAGCATTTGCTATGTAGTATGGAATGTTAGGAGAAAAAAATGATTTTGGATGTAATTTCCTCTAAGAAACCAACAAAAGATGATATATAGAATAATAATGTTGATTATATAATGATGATGATGATAATCATAATAATAATAGTAGTAGTAGTAGTAGCAGCAGAAATAGTAGTAGTCATACAGCCTTTTCACACACAGCTAAAATTCATCGTATCTAGAGATGATTAGTATAAACATGTTTAACTCAACAGTTTTAAACACCTTTAAAGAAAATTTTCCCTGTGTGAACATCGTTTATACGATGTTCGGATAGATACAAAGTCGCGATTCATACGCCCCTCAAAGAAGGCTGCAGATACGAAGTACGTATCTAGAGAGCTTGACATTTTGTGTGTGATCGGTTTAAACATGTTTAAACTGGATGGAGCGTGTGCTTTGTTTGATATGACCTGACCTTCAATGCGCAATGGCACTACTGTGCATTTTAAGAGCAGTAGGTAATCACGAAACCCAACAAAAGTTGATATATAGAATAATAATGTTGATTATATAATGATGATGATGATAATAATAGTAGTAGTATTAGCAGCAGCAGAAATACCCTTTAAACTAATCATGTTTACAGAATTTTAGCTGTGTGTGAAAAGGCTGATAGTTGTATAGTAATAAAAGTGATCATCATCAGCAGCATCATCATCATCATCATCATCATCATAAATGCATGTTCATGTCCCTAAATAAATCAAGAAGATTAACTGCATTTTAAGTTCCATGCAATATTTACACAATACACATGTAGTGAAACTACTTCAGTAATCCTAAAGCAGTTGTGGTGGTAAATAATCGTGAGTCATTATTTTGACTTCACATTGCAAATAACTATTGTTATTGTAAGGACCCTCACAAGACAAAAGTGCAAAATTTGCAATTGGATACTCTAAGCAGCAATTGTCCGTATCACTGTCATTCTATCTATTTATGGAGCCGTGTCTAGACTGTTTTTCTAAGCTTGTTTTTATGAATGGAAACGATGGAAATGACGAAGAAGAGAGATGGATTCCTAAAATAACAGACCTCTGAAATGGATCACAATGCCCCTTCATCCTGATTGGTCAGAGGCTGTCAGCTGACATCGTATTGTGTCATACATGCGAAACGGGGGACCTTGAAAGAGATAGGTTGTTTAGGATGTTCAATGACTGAACTAGAATTTTCAGACTGTGAATCCTATCCTACTGTACATGTAACTGCCCCAGTCCAGACATTGAGAAAACGTACATGTATGCCTTATATTGGGTGTACTTGGTGTACTTGGGAACAA